CAGTGTTTTCGAGAAGGAATTCTATTCCCTTGCATCTGAAGTACATTCTCCACAGTGAAAGTTCAGGAAAGAAAATGGAAGGAGTCTTAAGAGGGTAAGACACGGCACAGGGTCAGAAGTTAGGAGACTCATATGTAGTCCTGATGAGACGATCATACTGTGTGACCTTGGGCAAGTCTTTTCCCCTGCTTGAGTCTCAGATTTCTCATCAATAAAACCAGTTAGGGGGTTGGCTAAGCTAAACCTTTCCAACTGATGTTAGGGAGCCATGAATAGGTTCAGGTGTGCTGAGATACTAACACCCAGCCCCCCCACAGCCCTTGGGTCAGAGTCCCTGAGTCGTCATCACTGTTTACATGTGCTATAACGCAAGAAGGTGGGGGGAGCGTGGGCCAGACACTCTCCAGGGCCCCAGCCATGTCTGACATTCCGTTTTGCGCATCTCCGCTGCTCCGTCTTGGAGGGGGCTACGGGGAGGCTGTAGAAGAACAGACAGGCTCCTGCGGCAGGCACAGGTCCATGTGCTGGCAGAGATGGAAGCCAGGTCTCCTAGCTGCCCCCTGCTGCTCTCGCCTCTCGCCCAGCACCAGCCGAGGGAGCCGTGACGTGCTCAGGTGCCCAGGTGAGGGTAGGTGCATCTGCCTCTCTTCTGTCTGGTGGCTGGGTGGTCCCTGATGGCCCCCTCAAGCTTCAGCAGTGGCTTACAAAAGTGGAGGAGCAGCCTCCCACTGGCTCCTTCACCCACTTTCCGGTTGCAAAAACAGACTCACTGTTTCTGAGGAGTCCGGCAGCAGGTCTCTCTGCACAGGCCCAGACAGAGCCTTCACAATGTATACCTTTCTCCTGGGGCCAGCCACTTCTCGGAAATCCATGGACGGTCCACTTCTGTGGTTGACTTTGGACTACCCTCTCTCTCCTTCCATCTCCTGCCAGGTGCGCTATGCTTAGAGAAGGTACACACAGCCTAATTCCACCCTAATCATAAAATATCAGGAAAGACCCAGCGCTTGACCTAGCACTTTGTACACAGTAGATAATAAATATTTACGGAATAAATGAAGACTATTCTCAAATATTTAAAAAAGGAAAACCCTACCAAGCCCAAAGGAATTTTTTAAAATATTGATCACATTGCTCCTGCTTATTGGTGTAGATAAAAGATCACTTTTAAAATTCTTCAGTATTTCCTGGTGCTTACTAGATGCCATGCATTTTACAAGTCGGAGCTGATTTCCTTTCCACAATCCCATTTTACAGATAAGCACTCCAAGGCTCAAAATGAGGTTAAGAAACCTGTCCGAGGTCACAGAGCTGGTAAGCAGTGGCCACGGGATCCTAACCCAACTTTAAAAACCGGGAGCTTGGGATCCCTGGGTGGCGCAGCGGTTTGGCGCCTGCCTTTGGCCCAGGGCGTGATCCTGGAGACCCCGGATCGAATCCCACGTCGGGCTCCCGGTGCATGGAGCCTGCTTCTCCCTCTGCCTGTGTCTCTGCCTCTCTCTCTCTGTGTGTGTGACTATCGTAAATAAATAAAAAAATTAAAAAAAAAAAAACCGGGAGCTTTGCGGCGCACCAGGCTGCCTCTAAGGATACACAGAACAGAGGAGAGAGACAGGACTAAAGGGGGAGGCAGAGAAGTGTGCAGGAGGGCGGCAGCAACGCAGTCGGGGGCTCCCTACCGCCTTAGCCCGGGAACCGCTTTTGAGGCTGGGATAAGTTTTGCTGAAGAAAAGTGCAAAGTGTCAGGCCCTCGCTCATCTCGCCCCCTTTGATTGCTGGGCCGCTCTACCTGTGCAATCCGGCGTTTCCCTGGGCGCTGCCGGCTTGCGTCTCGTCTCCGTCCTGGCCACCAACCTTCCCTGCTTCCCTCCCCGAGGCAGCGACTAGGGGCGCAGGGAGCAGGCAGGGGAGCGTCAGGAAACCCGGGCGCTCTGACCTGCCAGGGATGAACTCGGCTGTTGCCTGCCCGCCGCTGCCTGACAGGTGAGCAGCTGTGCTCGACATCTGTCTGTACATCTGTCTCCGTCTCAGGGGCCCGGAGAGAGCCGATGCTCCCGAGACAGGAGGCCCTGATCTCCCTTACCCCAGAGATTAATCGACAGGAACTAGAAAGGGTGGGGCGGGACGAAGTGTGCCTCCTTCTCCACCCAAACCCCACCAGCTCCCCCAGCTCTGCCTGCCAAGCTCTGCAAATTACCACACATGCCAATAAGTCATTAGAAACCAGGCCTGCAAATGCAGGGTTGCCATGACGACCGATACCAGGCGCCGGCAGCCCGGGCGACCCGTGGCTCAGGTGTGCTGTGGGGAGAGGCCGGAAGGGCCCACAGGCCTGATGCAGGCAAGGGAAGGCGCTCTGCTCTGGGGGTGCGGATTCTGGGCCCTTCCCCGTCCCGGGGCCAGCCCTGCTGCCTGCCGAGAGCTGGGGTGACCGCGTGGCAGGGCTGCGGGAGGGCACGGGCAGGGCAGGTGTGCCGGGCCAGGGCCCAGGCCGGGTTCCGAGCAGCTGCGCCTCCCCCGGAGGAGGAGGAGGGCGCTGGGATGAGGCCCAGCTGGGGTGGGCCTGGGCCCGAGCGGGCAGCCTGGGTTTGGAGGAAACAGCTCGGGGCGGGCTGAGGGCAGGACCAGCCTCACGGGACACCCCCGTTGTCCTGAGCTCAGAACTCACTCTTGCTTCCGCCCGGGCCTTTGTAGGTAAAGACACATGTAACGTTCGTTGAAAATGGAGGAGGGGATGAGGGAAGGCTTGTAAGCACCCGAGATTTCCGACAAGACAGGAGCAGCCCCCGCTCTTCCACTAGCTCAATGTGGTCCCCCACACAGCCCCTTCTCTTGGGCCTCAGTTCCATTATCTGGAAAATAACGGGATCACGTTCCACACACTATTTCCCAGCACACTCCCCAGAGCTGGCGAGTCGCGGAGGGGTTCCTCTGAAGTTCTGGGCCAGGAGGAGGCCCAAGCCGTGGGGTTCGGGTCCACTGGCTCGGCTCTACCTGCAGCAGCTTTACTATCAATCCCCTGCTGCTGCTGCTGTAACGTCTTACCACAAAATCAGTGGCTTCGGACACCCAATTTGTTATCTCACGGTTCAGAAGCCAGAAGTCCAAAATGGGTCTCACTGGGCTAAAACCAGAGTGTCCGTAGATCTGTGCTCCTCCTGGAGGCTCTAAGGGGAGAATCCGCTTCCTTGTCTTTCCCAGCACATTCCCTGCCCACATTCCTTGGCTCACGGCCCCTTCCATCTTCTCAAGTCGTTCTCATGTCTCATTGCGCTAACAAAGCCTTCTGCCTCCCTCTTCCACATTGAAAGGACCCTTGTCATTGATTACATTGGACCTACCTGGATAATTCAGGATAATCTCCTTGAAGGGCAGCTGACTAGCAACCTTAATTCCTTTCACCTGCAACCTTAATACCCTTTGCCATGTAACAATCATAAGTTCTGGGGATTCACAGGCAAACATCTTTGGGAGGCCATTAATCTGCCGACCACACGTTATACAGTTGACCTTTAGACAACACAGAGTGCAATGCACTGACCCCCCCCATCCTCAGTTAAAAGTCCGTGTGTAATTTTTGACTCCCCAAAATCTTAAACACTGAGCTACTGACAGCCTATCGCTGACCTTCCAGAAGCCTTTCTGATACCATAAAGTGTTGATTAACACATACTTTGCACACTATATGCATTATATACTGTATTCTTAAAATAAAGTAAGCTAGAGAAAAGATGTTAAGAAAGTCAAAAGGGAGGGATGTCTGGGTGGCTTAGTCAGTTAAGCATCTGATTCTTGATTTCAGGATCATGAGTTCAAGCCCTGTGTTGGGCTCCATGCTGGGTGTGAAGCCTACTTTAAAAAAGTCAAAAGGAAGAAAGAATACGTTTACAGCACTGTGCTGTATTTATTGATATCATAATTTAAGTCCTCTGTTTAGAAGATAAATCATCTGTCAGAACCTATATTGATACTGTCTTACATGATACAGAGAGCCGTAGGTGTTATACGTGTTACTAACGCTGGACATGAAAAAATGAAAATGATGTGACAAAGAAATTCATGCTTATTTACAAAAGGGTTTTTCCAATATATTTATTGACAAACATCCATGTACAAGCAGACCTGCACAGCTCAAATCTATGCTGCGCAAGGGTCAGCTGTATACTTTATTTTGAAAAAATGGATCAATTTCTGTAAATGTTTGAAAGCCACATGACCAGAAGACTCTCAGTTGCCACCAGTTTTAAAGTGTTATGACCTGGATGCCTTCTTTTCTCCCTAGGGGGATCCTGGAGAGGAAATTCAGAGGAACCCTGCAGACTGCCCCTTGAGTGTGAACGTTGGCAGGCTTGGGCTCTCCTGATGGGGGCTGCAGAGAGATGGGTCTCTACGTCCACCAGAAAAGGGGGACCCAGGGAGGAAAGCATGAGGGACATTTTGGGGAATTTGGGGAACCCACCTCTTTCAGCTCTCTCCTCACCATTCCACATGCACCCCTGTATTCAGACTCCTCTGCTGTCATTTGTTCTTATTTTTATTTCTAGGCAACATCAGGTGGAACTGTGTGTGCATGTGTGTCCACACATGCATGTGCATAGTGGCTCCCATCACACTGAAATGTGTGTGATTCTCTGTGGCCATGACCTTGTTCGTTGTTGCTTGTTGCCCACCCCCACCTCTTGGCACTGCAGCTGGTACCAAAGGGATACTGATTTCATAGTTATAAATTTGAGATGGCATCCTTCCTTCCCACACCCTGACCTTCAGTATGGTCTGTCCTCCTCCTAGGTGTATCCAGAGGAGTCCCCAGATTATTTCTAACCAACTCCGGAAACAGTACCGGGTTCAGAAGGCATAGGTCTTAGAATCTTCCTGTGAGCACCTTCCAAAGCCCATACTGATTACCTGTAGCCTTTGCAGGTGGGACACGCCCTGACTTGCCCCTGGGGGACCCAGTGGCCCCCCATTCTCGTCCCATACAACATTGCCTCTGTTCTTACCTCTGCAAGACACCCTGTGTTGACCGCCTGGGACCCGGTACGGCTTGACAGCAAAACTCAAAACTGGGCATCAATCACAGGCCTGGTGTTTGAAGACTTTATGCAAATTCCTCACCCTCTCTCAGCCTTATTTTTACCCTTGGTATAAGCCGACAGCTCATTCTCGTGGCTCCTCTGTCATATGTCCCAGGGGATGCTGGAAAAGAAATGTGATGTGGTAGGGAAAGCTATTCTTTGGAGGAGCGGCCCTGGGGACACGGAGGAGAAAAGGAACTCACATTTATTGAGCCTCTACTTTGTAGCAGGCACTTTACACAGATTAGCGGTGGTTGAGAACCAGGGCTCTGGAGTCAGGAAGGTTTGGGGCTGCATCTGTCACTTGCTGGCCGTGTGGGGCCTCCGGCAAGTTACCTACTATTTCCCAGCTTGGTTTCCTCAGTTGCAAAGTGGGGGAAAATCGTATCTACTTCACAGCATTCTGTGGATTAAATGAGATAAATGAGGTAAAGCTTTCAGCACCTCCTGGGCACCCACCGATGTTAGCTCTTGGCATTAACGACCCCATGAAGTGGGCACCATTAACCTGGATTCACCGGTGAGGAAACGGAGGCTCAGGGAGGTTAGGTCAAACGCCCAAGGGCCTATGCTTAGGGAAGGGGCTCTAGCCCAACTCTAACTGATTCTGGCCCCCCTGGGCTGTGAGCCACAAGGAAGACAGGAGCCTCAGCCTGCGTTTTCCCGGTGGTTATGCCAGGAGCCTCCGTGGTAGAGCTGCTGGGCTCTCCTTCCTCAGGCTGCCCAAGGCCCAGAGGAGCAGGAGAAGGCTGTTCTGCAAAGCCTCCGGCTTGGCCCTCGTGACCCTTGGTTCCTGCTCTTTGGCCCTCGGCCGGGGACGGGAGGGTCCGCCTGTGTGGGCGAGGGCACTACCAACGGATCCTGTTCCACTCCAGAGCAATCTCTCTCCACGTAATGGGAGTGAGCCCAACCGCCAAGACCCAGGCAGCCTCTCTCCAGGGTGAGGACACTCACCCTCCGTGGGGGAACGCTTGCTCCTTTCAGCACAACTTTACTTCTAGTCCACCCTAAGGGAATGTAACCGGAATAATCTAGCCAATTGGGAGTAACCTACCCAATAGGAGCCCAGGCAGTGAGGGGAAGGGAGAAAGGACCTGGGGCAGACCGGGCGGAAACTGGAGCTCATGGGCATTCCAGACAAAGCCGTCCAGACACGAGGCAGGGGTGGAGGGGTTGGGGAGGGGTTGGGGGTGTTGCTGGTGGCTGGCAGCAGACCAGGAGGGTACAGAGGTATGAAAACACCTGGAGAGCTGTCATCAGGACCTGCTTAAAGCACCGCGGCTCCACGGCTCTCCAAAGGCAGGAGCGCCAGGCAGAGGTTTTCATTCTCTAAAGGGCTGCTCTTCCGTCCCAGGATGGTGAGGAAAGGACTGCACCAGGGGCTGATCCTTGGATGCTTGTATACTGGCGGTCTTACCCCCACGGGTGCCCTCTCAACCCCCGCGTTGGTCACACGTCTCCACCTCCTGCTCCCTGGGCTGGAAGCTTCCCTGAGGGAGAGCCATCCGCTCTGCAGAGCCACACCACACCCCCTTCCCAGGTCCAAGTCAGCGGCACCTCCCCGAGGAAGCGTTCCTATATACTCCCACACAGAGCTCGTAGTTCTGATAACATTTATAGTCTAAATCACACAGTTTAGCACTTGGTTTTAAATAACTGTCTGGTATTATTCACTTGTTATTTCTTGTGACTATAAGTTTTGCCTTCCCAGCTGACTGGTAGGTAGGCTTCCTCATGCTTCTTTACCTTCTCCCCTACCCCAGAGCCCACCACTGCCTGGGAGACAGTACCCAGGGAAAGGGCACTTAGTGGGGAAGTACTGATGGACTGCACTGGCTTTGATGGCTGAGGAACCGCCTGACCAGCCTCCCAGTGAAATACCGAAATGGACGGGCTGGAACCTCAGGTTTTAAAAGGCTGGGTCATGTCACCCCTGCCCTAACCCCTGCAAAGGCTCCCCATCTGGCTCTGAGGAAAACTCTTCACTCCAACTCCAGCGTTCTCCAAGATCTGGCCTCCTAATGTCCCTCAAATCCAGCAGGCACAGCCCTGCCCCTGAGCCCCTGCACCAGCTGTTCCCTCTGCCTGAGGCCCCTTTCCCATCTTGCCTCCTGCTTAATTCTTTTTTCTTTTTTTTTTTTTAAAGATTTTATTCATTTATTCATGAGAGACACATGGCAGAGGGAGAAGCAGGCTCCATGCAGGGAACCCGACGTGGGACTTGATCCCAGGACTCCAGGATCATGCCCTGGGCTGAAGGCAGGAGCTTCACCGCTGAGCCACCCAGGGATCCTCCAACCTCCTGCTTAATTCTTACCCACACGTCATCTTCTCAGCAAGGTCTCCCCAGGCCACCCTGTACAGAATTACAAGCTCTCCTCTTCCTAACACGGACTCTCCTATCACCACCCCCTCCTTGCTTTATTATTCTTTTTCTAGCACTTGCCACTCTCAAGCACACCATTCATTTTACTGTATTTCCCAGACCATAAAGTATAAGCTCCACAAGGGCAGAGATGTCTGGTTGCTTACTCCCATCGTCTGTACCCCCAGTGCCGGGCACAGATGCTTAGTAAATACTTGCTGAATGAAGAGACCCCAGTCCCACCCCGTGTCTGAGATGGCTCAGGTACAGTTGTGCTCAGAGATGGGCAATGGGCAAGAAAATTGTGGAAGTCCCCTCTGGAAGTGAGATTCCAGCATTCCACTCCTGGGCCAACTCTGGGGAAGCACCTCCCCAGAGGTGCTGGGGAAGAGACTGGGGAAGTCTGGAGCTGTGTGAGCCCCAGTTACCTTCATCCCACTAGGAGGTCCATCCAGAAGTAGAAGTGGGGGTACTGCCAGGGAAGGTCAAGTGTCAAGTTCCCCCTCCGCCTACCTACAGCTGCCCAGAAGCTGCCCCTCTGTGGTCCCTCCCTCTGCTGGACGTCATACCTATGCACTCCCAGGCCAGAGACAGACCCTTTCATCACCTGCCTTTGAATGTTCATTTTGAGAACACTTTATAGAGGAACATAACCTTTTCCACCTTTCTTCTTTCCTCCTCCTTCGTCTTTAAAAAGAAAGGGTCAGGTAAGATAGATCCACTTTTCCTGGGAGACCCATGCTGGCTGTCTAACACTGCTGCCCCTTCTTACATATGTTTTTTTCCTGAATGATCCACCCTGTGACATGTTTGTAAATATGAATGATTGTACTTGTACCTCCCAAGACACATGAGCCTCCCTTGTTAGAGACACTCCACTGACAGCACTAATTCCAAACCATCCCCACCTAATCTGCCTAATCTGGGGTCTGTGCCCCATCCTCATGTCTCCCAGAAGTCACCTTCATATTGGTTCTTGGCACTGTGGCTGTGGGGACTGGCTCTAAGGGTCCCCCTTCTCTGAGGCCACTGGCTCCCTGTGGCCCCAGAGAGGCTTAGCTGAAACAGAAGGAAACAACGCTGGCTCTCGAAGAACTGTGACCTACAGGAGCAAGAAGAGGGGAGACCCTCTCTGAAGGTCCCCCAAAGGGGACAGGTAGTTCCCAGCTTCCTCAAGACTTGGGAACTTTTCAACCTAGGGAGGAAGGGGAATGGGCAGGATGCTCCCAGAGAATGCTCCAGGTCCAAGGGGCACTGGATTCTGGGAGTGGTTAAGGAGCAGGAGCCCTGGGGTCAGAGAGATTGTTTACTGTTTTGTTTTTTTTCTAGTTGTGCTCCTTGAGCAAGTTACTGAACCTGAGTCTTGGTTTCCTTGCATTTAAATTGGAGATAATAAAAGCACCTGCCTGATAGAGGTGTTCTGGAAGATTTAATGGGATAACATACGTAAAGCACTTGGCACAGCACCGGGCACCTAGTAAGTGCTCAATAAACGCCAGCTGCTATAGTGAGTGCTGTGTTGGGGAGGGTGTGACATGGATGTTGCCCCAGAAACCCTCTGCCTGTTCTTCAACTCAGGACTCACTTCAAGGCCATCAAATGCTGATCCGCAGGGAAGGAGTGGGTGGAAGAAATATACAGAGAGAAGCCGAGCTCTAAACCAAACCTGGTTGAGCTCACCTCCTAAAAGGCAGCTCCCTTAGCCCATCTGAACATCTGAGAGGCCGTGGTCGTGAGACCAATCCCAGCAGGGATGCGCCAGATCCTTCGGCCAAAGGCCAATGATTTTAGGCTGAAAAATGTAGGGATGTCCCGGGCAACCTGCCAGCCCCACTGGAAGCTCAGCTCTGAGCATGGAAACAGAGGCCAACGTGGGACATGGTCAAGGTGTTCCTGACAGCCCTAGAAGTCAACGCACATACAGCACGGCACCTCTTCATCCATGACTCCGGGGCCCCAGACACCCTCGGCACCATGGTCCCCAGACCCACCATCTGTGCCTGGCTGACTCCTTTCCAAGCCTTGCCTCAACTATCAGGTCCTTTGAGAGCCACTTCCTCACCTGTGGACGGGGCCAGTCACCTCTCTATCTGCCCATCCCTATATTATCGCACTTGCTTCATTATTGTAAGACTGGTCCCCATTTAATAATAATGGTAGTCACATAGCACTTACTATGCCAGGCACTGTTCTGAGCTTGCTACACGTAGTAACTCATTTAATCATCATAGCGAGTCTCTGAAGTAGATAGTATAATTACCCCGTTTAGATATAAGGAAGCCGAAGTACAGAGAAGTTGGGTGACATGTCCAACGCCACCCAGCTAGAAGTGGAGCTCCACCCAGATGGAGCCTGGATCTGAACCCTAGCTGTGTGGCTCCAGACGCTACACTCTTACGGTGCTCCTGGAAAGCAGGGGCAACATCTGATGGGTCACTGTCCCTAGCACCCAGCATGGGGCTATGCACACAGTAGGTGCTTAGAAAACGTGGGCTGACTGCATAAGCAAATGCCTGTTTAAGGCTACCTTGGTGAATATTTCAGCCTCTGAGCTGCAGGATGGAGAAATCAAGCCTCTCAGGGAAGTATAAGATAAAGGCGCCCTTGTTATCCACTCTCTTAGCCATCCCACCGCACACGGTTGCCTGCCCTGTCTGCTTCTGCCTTGTCTGGCCTTCTACTTTTGTTGTTTCTCAGTTTATCTTTGGCCTTTGTGCTCCTCCCCTTTTGTTCCTTGGTCACTCTCCCACTTTCCTGCTCCATCCAGCCCCTACCCTACCCATTGTCCTTCCCAGTAGCTCTTGCATGCTTCAAAGCCACCCCCACCACCACCCCGACCCCACCTGTTCTTGGCCTTGGAGTTTTGAGAGTCCAGGCTTGCCCAAGGAGGCTGAGAACAGCAATGATATTGGCTCATTACACTGGCCATGGAGCAAGCTTCTACACCCTGATCCTGAAGGAAAACAGCAATATCCCATCAATTCTACCTGGATGCAGAGTGGGGGTGCGGGCAGGGGGTGGTACCTGCCTAGAGCTTGTCCCTAATCTGTGTGGGATGAGGAAGATCCACTGCCCTCCCTGCCTCCTCTCTCAGGCTCCCGGCTCCTCCAAAAAGCCCTCCCATAGCACTTGAGAAAGCTTATTCATACAACCGAGCAGCAAATCCTTTTATTTTCTGATACTCTGAGTAGAGGAGGTACCCCTCTGAAAAATTCAGTTACGATATAACTTCGGACCACAGTGCAAGTGGCCAGCTGTCACAGGCATCGTGGAGGCCAAAAGAACTGCAGATAATCAGTTACTGCAAAACAGAAACCAGTGTGACCTGGGGCAAGTAGTTTATTCTCTCTGGTACTCAATATCCTAGCTACCAAGAAGGGGATGATGATCTAGACTTCAGGTTGTCAGGAGCATTGAATGAGATAATTTTTGTAAAGCTCAGGACAGACTGGTGCTTAGTAGGTGCTAAAAAACACATCTGTTTCTCCGTTCTCCGTCTAAAACACTGGCTGTCTACTCCACCTCTCAGACAAATAGTGTGATACAAAAGGTCCAGCTTTTCAGATCAGAAATATCTAAAGGACGGGATGACCCTCGGTCTCCAAGCTCTGGGGTAAGTGTACGTTATAGGGAACTGGGCCCATCATGCTAGAGGTCACTCACTGCAGTGATGATGTCAATTCACTAGGACTGTCCACATTACCCTCCCCTACCCCCAAGCAGTGGGTCTTTGAAAGAGTCCGGAGGGCACAGAACTAATCAGCTAGGAGGTCCAAATGCAACTTCATTTCTCCCTTGGGACATGGAGGTTTGTTTAATTGCTATATCCTCGGCTCTTAAAATAGTACATAGTAGGTGCTCAATAAATTGCTAAATGATTTTTTTTTTTTAAGCAATGGACTTTTTTTCTTTCAAATAAAAAGATGGGTGGGGATGGGTTAGGAGGTAAATGGCAGGGTACCGGGGGCATGGCAGGGAAATGCAAGGGCCAGGCCCGCCAGCCCAGGCTCCTCCCCTGCAAAGGGGATACAGCAGAGCCAACAGTGCTTGTGTCCCCACCTTCAGGATGTTCGGGAACCAAGCTCACATGCCTGGCTTGAGGTTTATGCTGCAGTTTTCAGAAGAGAAGGGGGGGGGGCAAAGGTGGAGACAGAGATAGGAAGGGAAGGAGGGAGAGATCTTGGAGAGCGGTGTGAGAGGGAGATAAGGAGATGCCCGTGGAAGAAAGAGAGTGAGGGGAGGACAGAAAGAGGAAGGAGGAAGGAGGCACAGGGAGAAAAGAACGGACGTGGGGAGCAATCCTGGACAGTTACACAGGAAGCCTGCTGTCTCAGCCTGCTGGGGCATTCATCTCAGCAGACCCCTGAGTTCCCACTGCCTTGGCTGTCTCTTAGGGGTTGGGCTGTGCCAGGGGGAAGGTGTGATCTGGGGGTGCTCCTAGATACCAGGTGTCTGCCAGGCCCTGGGCAGGTCTCAGTCCCTGAAGCACCGTGGCCCTAGTTGCATCCCATCTAGGTCCAGGGGGACCCCCTAGGCAGGAGACTGGGAGGAGACTCAGCGTGAACCAGCCTGAAAAGGGCCTGGAAGGCTCAGACCCCTGGCTGTGCCATTCTTTTTCCACCCTCTCCATACAAGGGCACCTGGCCAGCCGGGAAAGTGGGTCAGGCCACCTACATCTGACTTTTTTTCTGAAAACACGCAAGGGAGCCTCAAGGCCCTATACGCAGCCTTTGCCCACCCGATGCCCAGTGATCTTTGTTGGTGGGACCTTTTAAGAAGCAGTGGGCAGTGGGAACGGATCCTGGCCTTCTCACTCAGGAAGCAGACACCGGCCAGAGCCCATCCCAGGCTGGTGGGGAAGAGGGAGTCTGCAGCTGCACAGGGAAAGACCCGAATCTCAACGACGGTGACGGCGCTGCTGGGGGCCGCCTCTACTGCCCTGACGCCGGGAGCCTGTTCCCTCTCCCACGCAGCCCCTGGGGTCTTCAGCCTGCGCACTGCCCCGTCCATCTCTGGCAACGGCGCGCGGTGCCCGGCCCACCCCGTCCCGGCCCGGCCCTGCCGGTCGCCCCATTAGAAGCTGCGCTGGCTCCAACAGATGGGAGCTGCGGCAGCCCGAGGAACAGAGCACAAAGCCCAGCTGACATTTTCCTCCCTGTTCTTTCGGCGGGGGAGGAAGCGCAGGGACGGGCGGGGGGTGCCCAGCAACACCCCTCGCGCCCACCCCCGGCGCCCAGGTCTCCTGCCACGCTCTAGCTGCTCAGCGCGGCCCTAAGTGGGGGGCGGTCCCCCTCGCCCAGCGCGTCCTCGCAGGCTGGGCACCCGCAGCTGCGCCGCCCTCCGCCTGCAGGACGCACAGACCACCTGTGGCTGCCCAACCCCTCCCGTGTCCCGGCTCTGCGGTGCCCGGCGCCGTCCTCCAAAGAGCCCCGAGGCTGCGCCCCAGGCCGGCCCCTCCCCCGCCCCACCGCCCCAGCCCGGGCTGCGGACAGACCCGGCCGGCCCGGGAGAAATCTGGCTGCTGGTTCCAGATACTTCGGGCACACACCAAGGCCACCCAGTCCCTCCGCGCCGACACCCGAGCTCCAAGGACCGGCCCCGGAGAGCGTCCGTCCACCCGCCAGTCCGCCTCTGCCCGGCCCCTCTCGCTCCCCCGACCTCTCTGGGCGCTGCCCTGCCCAGCAGCAGTTTGGGGCGCCGCGGTCCTCCCCGGGGAGCGCGCCGGGGGTTACGGCCCAGCCGCCCCTCCCCCGCGGCCTCGGGTGCAGTCCGCGCGGTCGGCGCCCCTTTGCCTTCTCCAGCCCGGCCCCGGCCTGCCCCGGCGGCCGCCTCCCTCCCCTCCCCCCCTCCCCTCCCCCCTCCCCCCCCCCCCGCGGCCGCCCCTCCCCCTCCCCCTCCCCGGCCCCGGCCCCGGCCCGGCGGGTGCAACCGCGCGTGGGGGGGACCCGGGCCGGCCGCTCCCGCCGCGTCCCCCGCCCCCCCCCTCCCCCGGCCGCCGCGCCGACGGCCCCCGCGCTCCCCGGGGCTCGGCCCGCGGCCGCACACTCACCCGCGGGCGCCGTCCGGGCTCCGGGGCCGCCGTCCGCCGCCCGCGCCCCTCTCGGCTCCGGCTCCGGCTCCGGCTCCGGCTCCGGCTCCCGCCCCGGCTGGGCAGGGCACGGGGAGGCCGCGCGCGCAGGCCGGGCAGAGGGGCTCGGGCGCCTTCGCCGCCGCCGAGTCGTCCGGGAGCGCTCCTGGGCCCCAGCCGGCGAGCGCGGCCGCTGCACCGCGGTTCTCGCCGCCCCCGCCCGCGCCCGCGCCCGCGCCCGCGCCCCGGTGCCGCGCAGCCCTGCGCCTGGAGGCCGGAGGCTGCGGCTGGCGGCGGGCGCTCCCTCCGCGTGGCTCGGCCCCAAGCGCACCGGCAGGCCCCGCGCCCCCCGCGCCCCCCGCGCGCCCCGCGCCCCCCCCGGCGTGCGCCCAGCCTGCCCGCCGCCGCGCCGCCGCCCGCCCACCCCCCGCGGCCCGCTCCGGTCGCCGCCTCCGCGTCTGCCCGCCCCGCCACCCCCTCCGGTCCCGCTGCCAGTTTAACTCCTGAGTGGCCGGAGGCCCCCTCCCCCACGCGCACACGCACCCGGGAGCGAGGGCAGCCGGCTGGGGCCGGCGCCGGGGCCGGAGTTGCTGGGGCCGAGGGCGCCCAGGGGTGGTCCCGCGGCTTCGGGCGCAGGTCTCGGAGGAGGAGGAGGGGAGAGGGGAGAGGGGACGGCGCTCCTCAGACTGCCTCGGCCTCTTGCGGAGGACTGGGGGGGGGTGGCGGGGGGGGGGATTCGGCAGCTTCTAGCCGACAGGTGCATCTCGCAGGCGTAGCACGCTCCGAGGACCGCATCTGGGCCTCCCTCCCGAAGTCAACAGCGGGCTGGGTGGGTTAGAACCTGTTCCCGGGCACAGACACCCCGCATCCTAAAGGATGAAGCGGACCTCCCCCACTCCCACTCCCACCCCACCCCCACCCCCACCGGTCCTCTTGCCCCTCCAGCGTTGCCCTCTGAGCCGGCAGCTCTGGCATCCTGGAAGACCCGATCATGACCCTACGTGAAGGACGTCAAGCTACATGGGTGTTAGGCCGGAACTGGCAAGTCCGCCCCGGGGCTTGGCTTTGGGGGATGCCCGTCCAGCGGGCTATGCTGTAAACGCCGAGATAGGAGAACAGAGGGAGGGTGCTGGGCCGCTGCCGGGTGCCTTAGAAAAGCTGGGCCACTACCACTGATTGGGGCTTAGGAGAGTGGGTCTCCTGCTGGAAGCAACCGCTTAAGGCCCGTGCCTTGGTGGGGCCCTCAGCCTGGATCGCTCTGAGTGCACCACCAGTGCACGCAAGCTCAGCTCCATGATAGGCCACGCCCCGAGGATGGGTTTTGAACAGAGGCAGCAGAATCAATCATAGGGGAGTGGGCCAGGGGGAGCCCAAGGTCCTGTCCGGAGTGGCACCTATCCAGTCTGTCTTCCTTCTTTCATGGCTTGAGCTCAATGCGTCCTGTGAGCTGAGCTCCAGACAGAACCCTGACAGAGCTTTCTGGTTCTGTCTTTTCCAAGGGCACAGCCAGTGGCAACTCCATGCCTGGAGGCTTTTGTAAAGTCGGCTTGAAAGTCTGTGTGTTCTGTCTGCACAGAGGGGGTTCTCACCTTCATATGTCCAGTAAGCACGTATTAATTTCCCATTGTACCTCCTAAACCACCACCACCACCACCCCCTGCTCCCTCCACCCTCCACCCCTGCCGTGGGGCATAATGGTCTCAAGGAGCTTAGAAGGATGAGTTGGAGGTATATGAAACAAATCTTAACATTTCAAGGCAATGGAAGTGCCATAGAAATGCAGAATGAAAAAGCCATTATTGGCTAGGGTTTATTCATGGAAAGTTTTACGGAGGAGTTGAGATTCAAGCTGAGTCCAGATGGTAGGATAGGATTTGAAGTGACGGAGGAAACAGGGACTGGCAAAGGCAGGATAGTGGAGACAAGCAGAGTAGAATGGGTGGTTGTGTGGAGAGTAGGGGGCAAGAGGCAATGTATAGAACTAGTATTAGATACCAGTCCTTTTCACATATTTCTCCCATTTTCCTCTCTGAGCTGGTGCTTACCCCATTTAATAGGAGAATGGAGGCTCCAAGAGTTTAAAATCTACAGGCAAAATTTGAACCCTCTTCTTGAAACACACGATGCCCCTACTGTAACACCATATTGGAGCTATGCATGCAAAGTGGGGGCAGCCAATGAGCCTGAATTGCCAGGCTGAGCGGTTTGGCAGTGGCCCAGAGTACAAGCCATTTGGGGTGAAAGAGGCAGGAACATGGGAGCCAGAGAGGAGGCTGTGGTCGGAGCAATGAGGAGGGAGCTGTGACCATAGAGCAATGAGGAGGGAGCTGTGACCACATGTGGTGGGCCATTGTCAGGAAGTCCCAACAGAACTCTAACCCTGACTATTCTGGTGAAGGAGGTCAAAACTTGGCTCCAGGCTTTTAAGCATAAGCGTTTAGGTCCCGTGTTAATTCAGTGGTGCCACCTCGCCCTCTTGAGGGCCAAGTCCAGCGTATTCACAGACTGATCCTGAAATGGGGAGATATTATCAGTCCTTTACCCTCCCAATGACCTGAGCACTCAATCCAGTGCTTGTCCCCCACCCCCACAATATCTGTGCAGGCTGCCATGTGTGTCTCAGCTCCGGAGCAGACTGTGCACTTCTGGGGGGCTGAGACTGTCCCATACAGCATCAGGTCAAGACTAGTACCTTACAGCAGAAGCTCGGGAACCAACCGCTGAAGGACAGATGGGGCAAACACAAGTAATGTTTGCCAAGTGGCTGGGTCCCAAGTGACAGACCCTGTAAGACACACAATGGGTAAAGGATAAGGAAATCACATTCCCCGTGGGGAGAGAATGAGGCAACGTTCTCTTGAGCCGACTCTTAATTTCACGTAACCCCATGGGACAGAGGAAAGACCATAGGTTTTCGAGCCAGAGATTTGAAACTATCACTTACTTTGTGTTGCTCCTGGAAAAATTCTTAACTTCTCTAAGCTCTAACTCTTGCCTATGTAAAAATATTAATTTGAGTAATCTCAATTAATTATTGTTGAATACCAACATGTAAGGCACAATGCTAAACTCATTTATGCGTCAGCTTTTTGAAAAGTCCATCAACGCTAGGACCCTGGAGGTAGGGGGGAGGAATGTTTCACATTTGTGTAACCTGTGATAACAGAGCTGAAATCTAAACCCGGGGCTCCCTGATGGCCAAGTCCAACCACTGAACTGCTACCTGGCAACACTTCTTCAAGATGAGGGTAGCAATAAGGATAGTCATTCATCCTCACAGGACTGTTGTGAGATGTAACAGAGGTTGCACATGTCTGGCAGTGAGCACTGTGTCTGGCACGTAGTGCACCTCAGTAAATGGGTGTCTCTCTCTCTCTCTCTCCCACTCACCCTCTCCCTCTCCCCTCTTTCTCTCCTTCTCCCACTCTCTCTTTCTCAATCTGGCTCCCATGGCAGCCACTCCGAGCCAGATACTTTGCTGGGAAAAGATGAGGGCTCAGTTCAGTCTTTTGGAAGCTCTTAGGTAATTACCAGAGGACTTAATGGCCCTGTTAATGACCTTTCACCCTGTCCGTTTAATCTCTAGGCTTAGCCATGCATAGCTCCCTGCCAGGAAGGTGGGGACTCTGTGACACCAGAGTGTCTTTGGAGAGAGATGCTGGGTACACTGTGACCCTGTGAGTATTCCTCAGGTCAGCTCACTGGGCTCTTAATGTAGGGGTCAGATACTGAGCTAGTAGGCATGCTGTTTGTGTGGTGGGGCAGTGAGGAGAGGAGGGTTCCTCCTGGAGCCTGGCAGAGAAGCCAAGTCAAGGAAGGAAGGCTGGGGACATGGGACCACCTCCTCCTCTGGGCATTCCACTGCTATAGACAGCCTCTGCCCAGCCCTCACCTCAGGAGGCCCTGGTGGGGTCTTTGGAATCACCAAGGGCTGTTGCCCCACCAGTGCCCCTAGTAGGTAGGGAATATGGCTCAGAGCAGTGGTCCCTAGGCATAAGCCTCACCAGAGCATGTGTACAAATGCAGACCCACTGGTCTTGCTGAGAGTCAGATTCTGCAGTTCTCTGAATCTGTGTTTTGGCAAATTCTCTAGGTGATTCTGATTCAGGTCAGTGAATTAACCCTGTTTTGAGACACACTGGCCTGAGGTACCCATTGCTCTCTGACTTCTCCCTTCTTGGGCTCAGCTCCCAACTGGCTGTTGGAAAACAGGGAAAGGTGAACCCAGGGTCCCTACCAGAAGCGGGTTTGTGGGAAAGCTGATGAAGCTTAAACTTTAGGGTTGCTCACCTGTGGGATGAGGGGAGAAATCTGGGAGTTGTAGAGTGTTCTAGGTGGGGAGAGGAGGCCATTTTGCAAATAGGGTGCATTTTTATGTAAGTATTTCTGGTCAACTTAATGAGGAGACGTCAGAAGAAAGGGATCGGGGTTTCCAAAGCTTGTGTACATTGCTGTGATCTCTCTAGTTCTAAAGAAATATCACTACCATTGGACTGAATTTTGTATTTGTTCTTTTTCTTGAGAGACTCCCACAAAACCTGGCTCTTCCCTGGCCCCTGACCTCAGGAAGCTCCAAGGATCCACAGATATGCTTGGAACACAGAGAACCAGAAGGGCAGGAGGACATTGCAGATGGCAGAGCTGTGTGGAGCAGCAGGGAGTCTTCAGATTCCTGGAAAAGGCACTGCAGGCAAAAATGATGGAGGTTGAATCTGTTTTTGCCCAGAAACAATGTGATAATGGAAATTACGCTCCTCACCAAGGTCCTGGTGCCCAGCTTCTTATAGGAAGAAGCATATATACCGTAAACACCGTATTTAATCAACTGTAAATGATCTACTTGTGCTCTGTTAAATTGAATCTGAGTATACGAAACAGCTAAACTGGGCAATATGGTAACCAAATTCCATTCTGTTTAATTTAATGTATTCAAAAGATTCCCGGGAGAACTGCTTTTTGGGAGGGTGGGCAAGAGGGAGACCCTCAGAGGCCCAGAGCACAACTGAAAAGAGGCCATCAGGCAGCATCATTTATGGGTGCACCTGGCTGATTGTGAAGTGCACCTCTGTAAGTCAAGCCCTGCCTACACACACACACCAGGAATGGGGGATATTTAAGAGGGCTTGGGGTACTTGAAATTGGATACGGCTCCATGTATCCAGATCCTGTACTTTCCTCTTTGTA